TGTTTAGAATGGACCAAACCAAAACTAACAAAAATCCTATTAAGTATGTGTCTCTTTCAGAGTACTATACATTGATTTCATACACCATATATACAGTGTACAAAACTCAGCCCCCATAGGCCAATCACAAGTTTTTCCCATATGAAATGTATTTAGAATATTTGAAGGATGTGTCAAGAAAACAAGTGTTGAAAGGAAAATGATGGCCAATTGGAACATTTAATGCAATTAATATAAGTTGTCTATGGCGGTCTATCTTTTGGTATGCTCTATATATTGGGGAAAGTAACCCATGATTCAGATTGATCACATATCTTCTCCTTTCACAACTTGATTGAAAAGTACATGGTCCAAATGCTGCTGCTTTCCAGAAATTTGAAGAGCCCTAAGTGAAAATGTTGTTCATAGTATGGCTTTTTAATGTACTGAGCAAATCTCCCAAATCTGTTGAAAGTGAGAGAAACCAAAATAAAAATAGTAAATAATAATAGCCAAACTAGGTCACTTTCACACACACTCCCAGTGGGGACATTGATCACCCAAGACCTGGGGGAGAACTGCAAAGTTTTTCTAAAGGCTGGCAGGGTCAGGACCAACTAAGCATGTATGTGGAATTATTCCAAAGGGCAGGAACTGTTATGTAAATGGGACCCTTCTGGGTCCCACCTGGTGACACATCAAGGGAAGAAGCCCAAACCAGCCTACCCTATTAGAATGAGTGGGATGGGTATTCTTGGGAAAAGAGGTCTATCAAGTCATCCTGACCTATGCCATGTTGGGTTTTTAGAAAGATCTTTACCACATCATTTTGCACTATTAGAGTGGTATTTAAAAAATAAGTGTTGGAAGCATAAAATTTGAAAAAAAATCAAGTTTAATTTTAAACTTCAAAGAAATACTTTTCTAATTAGGTTAAAGTACCGTTGTCCTTTCCACTTGAGGCTCTAAAACAAGCCTAAAGTTTAATTCCATGGATGAAATGATTGATCCAAGTATTCTTAAATTGGGTTCTATCTTGATTACATTTAGTATGTTCCTTGTCTGGTGCAGTTACATAGAAGAGCAGTGCAATACTTGTAAATCACCTATATAACTACCAACATCCCTTCCTATAGACCACAGTAGCCAAGGCCACTGGGAGCTTTGATTTAGCAACACCCAATTTGGAGTGAGTAATTCTCAGTTGCATTTATCCAGGCTTAAGAGATCTGATTCTTCCCAAAAAGCATTGTGGACATTTAATGGAAGGTAAATCATGTGTTGGAGTTGCTTTCAGAACATTCCACGTTGTTAATATTCTAACAGTCATGCTTCATCTTGGGAAAATCAAGGACAACTTCAAGATGTATTTGTATGCCGTCTACTCCCAAAGGCTCAGACCTGCTCTAAGATGGTTTATAGGCCTTCTAATGGCATGGTCAGTGGTTGCTTTACCATAAATGCAGTTCTCACTACTGCAGCATTAACTCAATAGCATAAGGATGTAACAAAAACTTGGCACCAGTTTCTTCACAGTAAGGCAACTTCTCTGATCAGTACAAAAACCTGAACAGTTGCAGGAGGGCTACATACACAGCTCAGGACTAAATAAGAGTGGTCAATCATCATGAAATGCTCTGGAGCCACTTAACAGGTTAGTCAATAAAACCACAATATTGCAGTTAAATGTAAAGCTTGTCAAACCAGTATTGTAAACACAAAAAAGCTGCTCTCTTTTAGTTACTGAAAAATACTTAAGCATGTAACATGGTCCTGAAGGTAATTTAGCCTCATCTATAAAAAGAAAGTTGACTCTGCCAAGTTATTTCTAGGAAATAGGAGAGCAAGGAATACATGAGCTGAATTAAGACCTACACTAATATCTTAAATGAGAGGATTAAGTTAGTTAAAAATCCAATGTATTGTTACTGCTAATAACAATCCCTGGTGCGCGTGTATATGTATGAATGTTAAGATCATACAACAGGTTGTGAGAAAAAGGGTTCAAGACCAAGATTCAATCTATTTTCAGCTCATCTATTTCTTATTTCTAGGAAGAAACAGAAGGTAGCATCTGGAAAAAATTAGAATTATTAGTCCTTGTTTAGCAACTGTTCAGTTATGACTGTAATGAAAAAGTAACTTTAGGACCAATCCCCGTGACAACCTCTGTAAAGCAAACTTTGATATTTGGGGATTCTGAAGAAAGATCATAAGCACTCATGTTTTCATTTGATGACTGCTCTGCTTAACGGCCACGTTGCCAATGCCAATTGTGGTTGCTAAATGAGTATTATCTGTATTTGCACTGCAAAGTGGAATTCTATTTGGCTTGCCCGGTTGACATATAGTACACTAGGACTATAACATGATTCCTAGATCGATTAGGACCATGCCAAAAAGCCAGACACCTCATTTGATGTATTGCAGAAAGAACTACATCTACATGACCTCCTCAACATACCTGAGATCGCTACTGCGCTGGTAGACAAAATGATCTGGGGATAGCAGTCTTATTTTGCCATCCTCCAAGCATAGCTCAATGATGAAAAGTAGATGTCATGACACTCCTTATATTTATTAAACACTCTGATAGGATAGAATCAAATCAATCTTTTTCCAAGGCTAAGTAAGTAAACTTTTCCAAGGGAAACATAAATGTTAAGAAGTACAAAGGTCTTGGAATTATAAACTGGGCGTAGGGAAGCAGTAAATTCTGAAATAGGCATTTATACAGAAAATCTAATCCACGCACGTTCCTAATCTTTATGAAGTCTGAACCCATGGTTTATGAGTAAGACTATACAGCAGAATAATCAATTGTAACCTGTTAATATTGTTTATTCAACCTATGAGTTTTGTTACTTTGTCAAGCATGTGAGGGGAAAAGAGGCTTATATAGCATGCCATAGAATTTAAGATGCTTCAGGAAAGGTGAATTCTTCTGTAATTACAACTACATGACAATCAAATCTTATGTGTTTTAAGCTTGCAAACAATCAGTGTTTATATTAGAAGTCAGCCTGTATATGAAATTAAAATGTAAGTTACATCATCTGAAGGCATTATAAATATGCTTTCCAGATACATTGGGAACTATAATCTCAACATATCTAAAGGGCACCAAGTTGAAGAATGCTACCTTAGTAACATTTTAGTAAAAATGCCATGTTCCCTATAATTAAGGATTTTATTGCAAACTGAACAAAGGAGCCTCATTTTAATTGTCGGCCCTGATTCTTCAAGTAATCTTTCTTCACCCTGTAAAGTTGCTTTTACTAACACCGTAATACATCCAAAGCACTTGAGCGGAATTTGGTGTACCACACTGACAAAATTGAATTCACCAAAATGTAATTTTTTTTAAAAAAAAAAGTTGAAACAAATCATGGCCAAACCTGTTCCCCTTTCATAAAATGTACGGTCTACTTTTATTTTACAATATTTCCAAAATTATGTTGAGGAAAAAGCATTAGGATGCACACAGCAGTGCTAAAGATGGAAGCAGAAGTGGCAGAAGCACAAACCCATAGCACAGGACTAGAAAATACTGAACTATAGACTTGGATGGAGACAAAATTATGATGCAGAAAGGATAAAATCCATCATTATCAAACAAGAATTAGTGGCACAAGTCAGTGCTTCTCAAAACAGAAAAATACTGTAGCAATGACTTTATTAATTTTTAGTCACCCTGAAATAGTGATCCTTGCAGCAAAAAATGTTTGTTAATATAGGTGGTAGCATGATAATCCTTTGGACAGCAAACATCCCACATTGAAAACTCACTTCAACACAACCTCATGACAATTCCCACATCAAAACAGTACTTTATTTTGAAATTTTGCCTCTTTACTCCCACAAAAAGATCTTTCAGCTGTCAAGTATACAAGGCGAAGAAATGCTTCTCAGTTAGCAAGCTGGGTGCATTTGGCGAAGTCTCCACAATACACCTGTACATATATCATCTGGGTTCCAAGCCTGTAATTGAAAACTTGGTTCCCAGGACCTTGTGTAGCTCACTAAAGTCTACACTACTAGGTTAGCTTATTAATTCTGCATATTCCAGGGCTGATCAATGTGTCAACCTGAACACAGACCAAGTATTATAACTGAACATGGCAAAAGGTTCACTCTACTAACTTCACATCATTATTTGATGTCAAACAATGAGGCAAATCCCAACAAGTATATACAAAAACCACCTTTGCTTTTACAAAAGACTTTGTTTCCCATACTGATTAATTCAGGCAGCTAACTCATTGGTTTATGTAACTTTATTGAAGAAAATAAAATCAATTACTAAGAGAGCTATTAGTTGATCATTCATCCATTGACAACTTGCATCATTTATTCAGTGCTATATTAAACTGCTGTGGAAGATAGATTAACTAATAGCTCCAAGCATCCTAACAAAATTTAAATGAGAATTACAAAAATGTTCCGAGACCCTATTTTGGAATACAAGGGATGTTGGACTTCCAATCTCCATTCTCTGTAGAACAAGAACTGGTCATTCCTTTATTGACATGCATAAGATACATCACGTGTTCTGTTCTGATGATGCTACAAGTTCTGTACCAATTCTCCAACCATACCAGTTATGAGCACAAGTATGTCATGAAACCTCAGTCTCTAACACTGGAAGGTTTTAAAACAAGATGGATGATGCTACAGCAATGCTATTTCCTGTGATGTGAGCAAACTGAACATCCATCTCCCCTCCCTTTGGGTGATTTCTTCAGAAGGACTGTTAGAGCAGTGAGGAATGATTTCAATCTCATAACCAAGTTAGAGTGAAGACATTGGCCACAACACACATGCTCCATTTAAAGAATTCTGAATCTTGGGCAATTGTTCTTGTATAACTACTTTACAAATTCTAAAAAGCAGTTATTGTCCAAAGCTGGAAGAGCTAAAGTCTTCTCAGATGAGCATGTGCATGAATGGATAGAGGTAAATTTAAAAAAAAAATAGATGAGGTCTGATAGGGGAGCAGCCGGATAAGAAAATCAAAAAAGAACAGTAATTTAAAGTTTATTCCAGCTATAATGCAGGTTATTCTGACTTAAGGTAGCATCACATGGCATACTTCTGAGTCCATTCCCGAGATATTCTGTTGTACCTGGAAAAGAAAAGAAAAATACTTTTAAAAAAGTTTAAATCTTTTTTAAAAGATTATATATTTTATACATATATATGTATAGATACGTATCAGAAAAACCAGAGCCAGCAATAAAAATGTAACACATTACAAAGTTCTGTGCTGGCCTTTGTCTATAACTAAGGTTTGATCTGACATATAGTTCTTTGCAGTGACTCATGGACATAATCATTTATACTAACTTTACAAAATATTTAATGTATTCCAATGAAAACTGGAAAAAATTAGTTTCTAAAATGGAAATAATATATAAGTCAATAACAGGAACACCTCAAATCATTTTGAAAATGGTTACCAATGAAGAAAATCTACTTGGCTTTCTGGAAATGTGAACAACATGAAGGGAAAAAACCCAAACTTTCTGGATATAAATAAATGCACTGATTCAGAAGTTTTTAAAGATTAATGCACAACTGAATCAGATTTTTTTTTTCCTTTTGGAACTGATGGACAAGTAGAAAAATGCTGTGAAACTTCATTTTCCTATATGACAACTGCAGCGAAATTATCATATGCTCAAAGATTCAACACATGAACAAGAGAGGAATGATTGTGACATTGATGGAGCTTGCAGAAATTATAAAACTAATTTTGTTGATTAGAGAAAAGATAGTATCTATAGTTATGGTAGACTGGAAATCCCTTGCAGATTTTTGCATGAAACAGAAGAAAAAAATGCACTTATGACTTATGTTTTGAAGATTAGGAAAAAAGGATAGAAGTTAGCTTTTTTTATAATCATAGGGTAGGAAATTAGAAGCTTATTTTTTCATTTTTTCTTTCTGAATTTTTGTCTTTTCTTTTTCTTTGTTTTATTCTATAATAATTTGTATTAAGTTTTTATATTCTCTTTAAAACATTCAATAAATTCAAATTTTAAAAAATTAACTAAAAATCTATGTGGATTTCTTAGTACATGTTCTTATTCAAAATTTTAGGATAAATTGAGTAATCTCTTTCCAAAATGCAAGAGTTTACTCAATTTATTTGATTAAAAGTTGTAAAGAGAATATAAAAACTAGGAAATCAGAATTCTTGGTGTGCAGTATCCCTATAATTTCCTATGATTCAATTCTACTAACTGGTATCAACTTCAGTATTCACTTGGTCATTTGGATAGTGTTGATAAGAGTGAGAACCATCAATATAATATTTTTTCCACAATTTTACAAGTTTTGGAGTGTATTCTAGACAAAGCTCACCTGCCAATTTTGATATAGCATATAAAAATACACCGTATTGCATATTAGAAATCACAATGTAATATGCAAGTATAAGTGGATATTCTTTCTAGCAAAACTCCACACAAACATCACAAACCCTTAGATACTAAATACAGCAGCCTCTCGCATAAGCAGGGATTGTGAGAGAACTGTGCAGAACTCCACTGAAATCAAGTCAGTGCTAATTTACATGCTCAGTTATTATGTTAGTGTCTACCTATACATGCCTATAGGCTTTTGTACTTCTGGATTTAATCTGCTAAATAATTTAAATTATAAGTAGAGCCACATTTGTGCTGAATAGGTCTCAAAATACTTACCAGTTAAGTGATTTTTCCAGAACCAAGAAATATCTACAAAACTTTTAAATATTTTGACTATTCTCATCTAGCCATGCAAGATAGGCCTCCCACGCTGAATACAATCAAGCAGTTAAAACTTTGTATTTCAGTGACTTGAACAATCTTTTGTTAGTTAATCCAGTGCCTTAAGCATGCTGCACTCAAGTGCTGAAGTCCCCACATCATTAATGCACCATGAAGTGCAGTCTTACCCTACAGCATAGCGTATTTCTCTGTCCACTCTCTTGCTAACCTATTGTACCTAATTAGATAAGTATATTTAGTAACACAGACAAGCCAATAGAGCCCTATTAAATTTATCTGGGCAGATTTAATTGCTAACACAAAGCAGAACTACTAATAGATAATTTTAGTTTACTCGAAACAGAAAGCAATATTTAAATTATCAAAGTAGCGCACAACTTTTGTTCCCCCAACTCGAAACTATTACCAGAGTGTTCTCATTTATAAATTTTCAATAGCAATTTTAAACTTGAAAGTAATGTCAATATTTTGCACAGTGTAAAAATTCTATTCTAGCATGCTACTGAAGTGTCCAAATTAAAAAAACAAAAATATTTTATCCAATTCTGTTTTAAACAGCAGCAATGACTCTACTGTTCTTTAGCCATATTTCACCACATCATTTTTTTTTTAAAGACAAAGTTATACTTACTTGTCTCTGTCTGTTTTATAGATGCGCGCAATCTCTGGCACTAGGGGATCATCTGGATTTGGATCACATAACAGTGAACAAATGGATAAGAGAACTGAAACAAATAGAAAAGAGCATATAGAAAATTGTAAATAGTTCAAAGAACAAGTTATTTACTTCTGCATGTGCAGGTAGAACATACAGTCCCATTTATTTTATTTCAAAAAGATTGTCTCTAGTTTAAAAAAACAGCTTAACTTGATCACCAGAAACTTTATACTTAGTTTGTTTGGCCATGCCCCTATGTATCCCTACACCATACTATTCTGAATATTCTGATAAATAGTTTTGAGTTTGAAAATAGTTTGAGTGTGAACTCATATGACTCACTGCTCTGTATGCAAAACAAGATTCTTCTTTTTCTTTGTCTTGGCTTCTTGATAATCTAAAGCCATATAGGTCTAAAAAATAAAATTAGCAAGAAGCCACTCAGCTCCTCTTTAATGACTCTAAGCCTTAACCCTTAGAGATATCTATTCTGTTTCAACAGGGACTGGCAGTTTTTAACATCAATATGGAACACTTATATAAAATTAATAACAATGATGATGATGGGAAAGTGAAACTACAAAAAGCACAAGTGTCTCACCATGTGAGTGCACACTTCAAGCATCAATTGAAGCTAAATACCTTGAATTGAATTACACTTTATACTACTCTCTTCCTATTAGTATTTTTGGGATATTTTTCCGAGAAAATGGAGATAAATCTGTGGGACAATTGCATGGCTGGGAAAAGTACTGGTGGGTAATTGCCTCAAAACAACAGTCAAATATCATGCTAAAATAGAAAGGAAAGTAAGACAAATCCTAGTACATACAGTATTAAGAATGTTCAAAATTTGTCAGTATAGGAAAGGATCATTCTGGAATACTCTAAAACAAATCATTTCAAACCAAATTCCAGGGACAATTCAGAATTACCAAAATTAATTCTTCAATCTAGAAGCAGGGTAATTCCATGGGTGGTCCGAAACCAAAACATAGCTCTTTCAACCAGAATACTTTGAATCATTTCAATTTGCTAACCTGCCCTTAGAATGACATGATCTGGGAGGAAACAAAAGATTCAGGAGTTTTCTAGAATATTCTGTTCCTGGAATGACAAATTTTGTATAGTCTAAATATAAAACGCATATATTCAAGCTGCTTTTTGTCAATAAAATACAAAAAAACCCAAGAATATCAACTAATGTCAATATTCATCCAAATATGCTTACCTTTAGAAATAGTTAAAGCAGGAGACCACTGTGACCTTAGAATGTCAAGACAAATGCTGCCATTACTGTTAATATTTGGATGATAAATTCGTGTTGTAAATGCAACCTAAAAAATTGAGATCAATCTGTAATCAATATACTGAACTTTTTCAGATTAAAAATACTGGTTCTCAATATTTAGAATATACACAATTCTGCTTAACAGTATCAAAGAGAAGAATGTCTGCTTGTTAGACTTCATATAAACTTATTTTTTATATACATAGCTTGAAATGTAATTCTACAAGTGGAGTACTTACAAGGTATGTAAATTCAATTCTATACAACTGCTATTTTTCTAATTAACAAAAATCACTCTTTCTGTCAGTTTCCTTAGAAATATATTCAGGGTTAGTGTAAAATCTAATGTATGCTATATCACATCACCTTTCTCTAGGTTTGGTACTTGAAACTGCATGGGCAGGGGAGAGCTATTTAGTTCTGGGGCAAGTATCAAAATAAAACTGTTATAATTTTTATCATTTGGAAATAGATATCTTTTCAACTTTCAGAACTATTTTTACAATGTTTTATTCTCAGGCTGGTAGGAAAAATTCACAATGATGTTCCACATGACAGACTCAAAGAATATAGAAGTGTCAGTAGTCTAAAACAGTGAAAATTGGCTATGTTAAAAAAACCCACAATACATTGTATATCACAGCCCAGATATCTGTATGTGTCACCAAACTATATTATAATGGCCTGAAAGCATGTTCAGTAACTGCAGCTACAATCATAAAGCAAATATATTTTAATTAATTCTGTAATTATTTGAATGTAATAGATCTATAATCCAAAGGGTAAGTCAGTGTATAGATATGAAGAAGCAATTTCTTTATGCCTCTTTGGCAAGTCAAAATGCTTTAGCAATGGTCACAGTCTATTACTTGCCGATTCGTGCAGAAATTCAATGTTTTAAAGTAAGTTTCCATCTTTACTTACCTTAGGTGGCTTGAAAGGGTAGTCTGTGGGGAAATGAATTGTCAAAAAGAAAACACCGCCTTGATATGGACTGTCATTCTGACAAAGAAGAAAATTCAGAAGTTAAACATTTCTGTAGGAACTATAGTTTAAGAGACACTGAAGAATTATAGTAGCTAACTAAAAGTAAAACTACCTGCAGCAAAATGACTCATATACTAACACTTAAAAAGCACACTTTGACAATATTAACAATGGGATGCACCTGATGATAGGCTGACTTCAACATTTCCTTCTGCATAAACAGTCCTGGAAATGTTCAAGAATATTGCTACATGTTCTGACATAGTATAGAAGACAGCAATGACATTTATGGACTGCCTTTGCTGGCGTCAATACTGTTTCATGAATATTAAATCTAGCCAACAGATCAGTTTCAGCTGTACTATTATATTGATTTATTGGCCATAATAGTTTATTTTATAATGATGTGCAAACTTGCCATAAAGAATAAAATTTCTTAAATAAAAAGTATGATATATGAAGCCCCCAAAAGAAGCCATGATATTGTTTTTCACAGGTACAGTGTTACATAGAGGAACTATCTTACTGAAAGTGTTTTTAAGAAGTAAAAATCTTAAACAAAAGTGTTTCCATGAAAATTGTAAATCAAAGATCATTAAAGCAGGGATTCCCAACCGGGGTGCTCCCCCCCCGGGGGTGCAAGATGATATTCCAGGGGGTGCAAAAACTTGGGTTTAGAAGTTTCAAAATTATAGTGTAATATGCATAATTTGTTTTGAACTTTTGTAAGGGGTGCGAGAATATATCAGAAGCATTCTAGGGATGTGGGGTATAGAAAAGGTTGGGAATCACTGTTCTAAAGTATGCACAATGAGAAAAACAGGACAATTTAAATTAAGTAGTCCAATGAAAACATGCCAAAACCTGTAAACTTTATACCACAAAAAGAACATAACAATAATGTGTTTTTTGGAATGTTTGAATAGCTGACTTTAGAATGAATGTTAATAAACTGAAGTACTTACAGGACCCATAATTGTAGCTTGCCAATGAAACACTGAATGACAGATTGAGAAGGGAAGAGAAAAAAGAAAAAACTGTTATTTAAATGTTTTTCTCCTCCCCCACAAAGAACAAACCATATTGGTTTACAAGGACCTGTTTAAAAGAACCAGTATTTATTATTAACAACTTACTGTCATCTCCAACAGGGCCTGCAGAACACTGAGCTGGTGGGTCACGAGCCAAATCACTAAGTTCCTGAAATAAAAACAATACTGTCAGAGAATTACTTATTTCTACCCCTTGCCCCTCCAAAGCATCAATCCAGACAAATGCTTTTGTGCACCAGCTATTAAAAAAATCAAACTTGTTTTCACATCAATAAACTAATTATATGTATAACAATGCAACTATAATTATTGAAAGCACTGTGGAATGGTCCAAACACTGCAAACATTTCACGTTCATGAATCAAGGGAAGTCTGAAATAGAACTTTTCATAATAGCAGAGGCAGGGTATAGTAGAATATTAAAATTATATTAAAACTTATGATGGTTGAAGAAAAGAATTTTTTTGACATTATGAAGTGGGGAGACAAGTAAAAGCAGTCCAAAACTGGAAAGCTATATTCTTAATTACTAATTATCTGAATTCTTAAGACAGAAATAATAAAAAACAGAAATAATGCTTAGTAGTTTCTGTGCACTGGCAGATACAAAGAATAAACAACATCTAAAAGCTGCAAGCCATATACAGGTAGCCCTTAATTTACAATGGCAACTGGAGCAAGAATTTCCGCTGCTAAGCAATGTGGTTGTAAAGCATGAATCCCACAGTCATTAGGTGAGGTGACTTCTCACCAGCTTCTCCTAACCAAAGTCAGTAAGCAAGCCAGCAGAGAAGACTGTAAATGCTGCAACTGATTTTAAGTGCAAACTGGTTTCCAAGCACCCAGACTGTGATCACGTGACCACATGATTGTGTGTGACAGCAAGAACTCTGAAGACCATAGTAACTATTTGTTCAGCACCATCATATTTCCAATGGTTGTAAGTCAAACTCTAATTGTGGAACCTCCTTTAAAAAGGAAAGTAAAAGGCAACTCTGGATGGTGTCTACACATGGATGAGAAGTAAATATAGTAGCACAAATCAAAATAACATTCCTAAAGCTAACTCAAGTTAGCAATCTAGCAGTTGGTCTGAATACATAGACTGCATCAAAACTCAGGCTTCATTGAAAATTATATAAATTATATTAAATATTCAAACTGGCTGCAATTTTCTCCCAAACACATATATTTGACACATGATCTCTGAACATTTCTAAGTACAATAATATTTTCCCTAAAAATATTAATACAACTTTGTAATTGGCCTATGAGGCTTGATCTTTGGTACAACCTGCATATAAAAATACAGCCATTAGAGGTAGTCATCAACAATAGGAAACACCGAAGGAAGCAGGGCCCCAGGAAGTAAAATTATTCACCTAACTTCCTCCATCTGGACTTCAAAAGACATACTGTAAAACAAAGTATCAGCCTCCAGATTTAATTTTGTTTCAAATAATGCACTGGGTTCCAAATGGATCTATAGGCTTTTAAAAGCAGCTATTAACCAGTGGGGGTTTTTTTTGGTTTGGAAGTTGTCTATCTGCCCTAAAAGAGTAGTCTAGTTGGGAGGTCCTATTAAGAGTGATAATCCAAAGAAACTATTTTGTAAGACTAGCATTTTAAAATTTTGTTTTACTTTAAACACACTAACACAGACTGATCATTAGCATCTCCATGAACCAACTAATCAAGTTCAAATCAACACTTGGTCATGATAACCAAAACTAGGCACAGAGCTGAACATGTCAGCTATAGTGTATTTCAATGTCTGCATATTCAATATTTCCCTCTGTATTATGATAAACTGTACAAAAATGGTTTCTCTTATTCTTTTAAGAACTGAAGACACATTTCATAGCCCAGAGCTTAGTAGATGATCTGAACATTATACCTAGCAGAAAGCAGAGATATGCAGTTTCCTTTCATTGAATCTTAAGCCTCTAATTAAGCAGATTTAACATCTTCAGCCTAAAGTCAGATAATCTTCTCTGATCACTTGGTTTTAGTAACATCTTGATTAAGAGGTAACCCTAATGATTGACCATGGAGTTCAGAATTATATTGATCATATGGTTCTAAGAGGAAATGCTATTTTTTAAAGATCTGAATAGACAGATATTTATTCATTTACATGCCTATACAGAATTAAGATATAGGCTGAATTCCCAATATGGGATTTGTCGACATGGTTTGTTGACACATCCTATGCTTTGACCCATTTATTTTAAATTAAAAGAATTTTTATGAAGTAGAAAGCTGGCATATTGCAAAGCTTCATCACGATCCTTATTTAAAAGGAGGCCCATGTGTCCAATTAGCATTCCTAAAAAATACTCTGGAAGCAATCTCATCAGCTCACAAGAGAGGCACAAGAACTATACAAATGCATTAACTTAAAGTCTGCCTTGAGTAATTGAGAAAAAAAGGCTGCTAAAACTACAATGTAAAAAATACGGGGAAGAGTAATTGTTAACAAGATGGTTTACTGACTTTTTACAGTAGTTACATAAACTTTGAAAAAGTAAAAAAAAAACTGTTTATTTACTAGAAATCTACATATATATTTTCCTTAGTTGCAGGCTATTTCATTTCAGTTTAGAAAATACATTCTTTAAGGTAACACATGGTCTCCATTTATTAATACAACGCAAGATGCACCCTCAGGCAATTTGCTATAAAGTGAGAAAGAAAGGGGAATCGGTATTCACATTGCAGTATGTCGTTTCTAGTTACTGCATGAGTTTCCAAAACTGCCATTATCTTAGAAACAAGCAGTTATGCTTAAACATGTGTTTAGCTCCTACACTGCAGATGCATATTTTTCCTAGAGCAGCATTCCCCAACCTTTCCGGATTGGCAACCCGGTCCAAGGGGGAGGGATGGAAGAGAAGAAGGCTTTGGGGGTGTGGGGCAGGCATGCTTGAGCGACAGGTTCATTTGTGTGAATGGGCTGCAAGCACCGACGTCCGCCACTTTGAGAGTGGGGCTCTGAGTTCCAGCACCTGCCGCTCTCATGAGTGCGGCTGCGCACGCACCACCTTCCACTCACGTGGCCCGGTTGCAAATAGGCCATGGCTTGGTAGTGGGCCATGGCCCACAGGTTGGGGACCCTTGTCCTAGAGTAAGTGCTGTAAGCCTTACTTACCAGCATTGCTTATGACACATGAAATGATAATTTCTTCCCAGTGTATAAAATAAACAGGATTTATAATTGCATAATAATATTAAATATCTTCTGAGGAAATATCAATACCTTATCTTACTATCATCATTCCGCACTAATACTAAAAATTAGGTATATACAAATATGTAATAACAGCCCATCTTAATTCAATACTGAGTCTCTTAGTAACTAATCAGTTACAGGTAGTCATAGAGTTATGACCAGTTGCTTAGTGATCGTTCCAAGCTATGACCAACCTGAAAAAGGGGACTTACACAAAGAAGAGTGAGTCAATCTATTTTCCAAAGCACCAGAAGTCAAGACAAGAAATAATGGATGGAAATTAATCAAGGAGAGAAGCAACCTAGAACTAAGGAGAAATTTCCTAACAGTGAGAACAATTAATCAGTGGAACGGCTTGCCTCCAGAAGTTGTAGGTGACTTTTAAGAAGAGACTACTTGTCTGGAATGGTATACGGTCTCCTGCTTGAGTAGGGGATTGGACTAGAAGACCTCCAAGGTCTTTCCAACTCTGTTATTCTGTAACTTTGATTCAGATTAGAAGTTCTGATGGTCAGACCCTCCCCGCAGTCACATGACCACGTTTTAAATGCTTGACAACACAGATGCATTTATGCTTATTTGCAGCACTCCATGGTCACGTGACATTTTACATTACTTTTGCAGAAAATCAACACTTACGTCCAGTTTTCAACAAAACTGTGCCCATAAGTGAACCGTTGATTCATTTAGTGACAGTACCATTTGCTTTATGACCACAGTAAAATTGGGTCGGCCACACAACTGACCTGTATTACAACCATCACATTATAGGGCCGTAATAAACAGGCTCCATTACAGTATGTCTTGCAACTGGTATTTCTAGAAATGATCTCACCAACACAAAGGTAGCATTCCAAGACTCTTCAACAGCTTCCCATGAAATTATCTAAACTCCTTTTAAAGACAGCCAAATTAGTAGCTGTTACCTCTCCTTGCAGTAATGGAATTCCACAGCTTAATCAAATGTTGTATGCAGAAGTTTCCTTTTCATCAGTTTTACTTAGGGATAATATATCCATCCTTACCCTACTTGACCTTTTGATGTCATCAATCATGGTATCCTTTAGATTGGGGTGGGGTGGGCATTATGGCGTTGCACTTGTTTACCTCTCTCTTTCAGGGTCAATTCAAATAATGTTGATGGGAGAAGAGAAGTCATGGCCTCCACTATATGGGATGCTATAGGGATTAGTGCTTTCTCCTCTCCTCTCCTTTTTTGTAATATATTTTATAGATTTTTTAAAAAACATAAATCACTTAATAATTGGTGAACAGTGTGTTGTCTTGGTTACATTTGTAAAACAATCACTAACAACTGATTTCTATAATCCATAATCCAATAATAGTTTTAGTTGATTTCCTCTTTTCCCAAAATATCGTCTTTTGCAAACATTGAGTTAATACAATTCTTATAGATTCTGTTACAGTCCTTATTTTAATTTGTTTCTCCCACCAAACTCTAGATATTCTTACTGGTTAAGATTTTCTCAAAAATTAATTACATTTAAGAATTTAACTCTATTTTTCCATATGAACCATCTTACACTTTTACATTTCTTAAGAAATAGATAAAACAGTAGAAAAAAAGAAAAAAAAGCAAGAGTAAAGAAGCATAAAAAATAACATGCTACTTAAAATATATATATCCCTCCTAAGCTAATACGTATTTATTTCCTAAATCTTCTTTTTAATCATAATTAAAACTGTTTAATCTTTAAACATTCTATTTAATACATCTAGTCATCTAGTCCTTTAACTCTTATTCAAAACATTTGTATCCATTGTAATTTTCTTAAATTCAATCACATTTAAATATCTAAAACATTTCCGTTATCCAAGTCATTTCAACTTTTTTATATTACTCATATCAAGAAAGAGAAAAAAGAGAAAAAGCATACTATATTATATTTAGAGAA